AATGGACCCTCTCACACTGACTGGAGATTATAAGGAAAGAGTGGCCATAACCCATAAAGAAAAGTGTGATGTAGAACAAGAGAACAAGGGCTCTGGGACACTCCCAGGGCCCTCGCGCAACATTCCCAGAGCCCAGAAAGCGAGGCGGAGAGCAAGGCCTGCTCCGGAGAGGTAGGGATGATTGTGTGTGAGGGGACAGTGCTGGTTCTGGGGGTTTCCTGGCTTTACTTGTGTGTGGACCCCTGGAACCGAAACTTGTGTAACCTGTGGGCCTGCTGTACCCCACCACCACCACCACCAACTGTAACGGCTCAGAAATATTTCTGTTTCTACATAAAAAATGGTGAGGATCACATAGACAAAGGTGGAAGTCTCGCCTGCTCTGGGTCCTTCGTGGTCTCACCGAGAAATAGAGACTAGCCACTGTTTCTTGGCTGATTTCCAGCACAGGTGATGATGAAGTGCAATGCCCCACTTACACTTCCCCATAGTTTCAATTAGTCAGATTGCTCTCCTGCTCTGTGGGGTACTAGAGCTGTTCTCATTAAACAGCTACAGCTTCCCACTCCTAGGAAGCTCTGCCTTTTCTTGGTGTAGCTGAATACATACACATATACCTAAGGGAGCCAAAGTCTCCGGTGGTGTAAATTAGCATTGCTTCCTGTAGAGTTAGACTAGCTTACCTCAACTGGGAGGTTCTTGACCAGGGAGCCTGAATCTTAATTCTTCCCTAAGTCAACACTGCTACAAATGAAAGCTAATTACATGAAATTATTATTGCTGTGATTCATTTGGACATTTCGGGCCAGATTTCCAAACAACGAGGCATCTCACACTGCCCTTTTAAAAAAACAGATATGCAGGCACAGTGCTCCATTTCCTCTCAGAGTCACACTTATGTGCTCATGTCACAGGAAGCTTGCAGTGGGTATGCGGGCTCCTCGGCTTGTCGTTTTAGAAGAAAAGTTGGCACATTCTGACTTTATTCATTTATAAGGCCTATAAACCGTTGGATCAAAAAAGCTCTCTTAAGCAGGGCACAAATAAATTGAGAGACAAAGCACACCGTAAATCAACAATCCAATTTATGACAAATATGCATAATAGTATCCTCATGTTTTATTTTATTTTAAAATACAAATAAGCAGAGAACCATCAGATGGCATCAACTCAGTTTTATTCAGATAAGGCCCATTGTGGTGTAGTGGTTAGAGTGTTGGACCTGGGAGACAAGGGTTCAAATTTCCGCTTGGCCATGAAGTTCACTGGGTGACCCTGGGCCTGTCACAACCTCTCAGCCTAACCTACCTCAAAAGGTTGTTGTGGGCATTCAACGAGGAGGGGAAGAACGGTTAGTTTCTGTTTGCCACTGAGCAGCTGCTTAGAGTCACAGGACTCTGTTTACATTCGAGAGACCTTCCAGACTGTTGGAAGTCTCATGGGAGAAGGGAGACGGATGTGACGCACTGGTTTCTCTGTTCCTTTGTTCAGTTGCTCTCTGCTTTCATAGAGAGAGGATGTATATTTCTTTGCTGTCTGCGTAGTAAGAAATAAAGCATAGCAATGTAGCCATAAATCTCATCACTTCTATGTGCTGCTTTGGTAACTCTGCTGAATGGGGGAACATGCCTGAGGCCTCATCAAAGGCTCAGGTCGTTAATTATTTGTCGGAGGGAGATTCTGAAGGACTTGGCCAGAAGAGGAACTTTATCAGCTTGGCCGAGTGGAGATTCCAACAAGAACCAGGTGTACCACTTTGAGTTCCTTGGAGAAAAAGGTGGGATTGAAAAGCCAATAGATAGAGAGATAGATGATAGATCGATAGATCGATCGATCGATCGATCGATCGATAGATAGATGATAGAGTGGACCTAACTTAGTCATGTTCTTTGATTTCAGTGGGCCTCCTCTGAGTAAAACATAGCAGAATGCTGCCCGCCATCCTTAAAAACAAAGATAAGAAGAATAAAGCTTTACAAAGATATAAATATTTCTCCTCCTTACTTAGGTTCAAGTATTTTAGGTTTCCTTCTGAGAGCTGAACAGGGGAAACAGTGGTTGGTTTGTTTTTTTAAAAAAATCTCAGTCAAGTTTCTTTCTGCTCTTCTTGGCTTGCGCTGGGAGGAAACAAACTATGATCCTTGTTAGCACTGTGTCCAAACCAGAAATTGTGGATTCTTTCCGAACCAGTTATACCCTGTAGCCAAAGTTTGTTCTTGGCTTCCTGATAGCGTTGGGGCAAAGCAAACCACAGGCCCTGTTTCGCAGGAAGCGCTAAGCCAGGGATTATGGTTTGTTTCCTCCATATGCTAGCAGAGAGAAGAGAGTCAGCTCAGATAGACAAATTCAAAGGAAGCATTACTTATGATTTACTCTGTGATATGCAAACTGGGGCTCTGTCTCCAGGTGGGAGGCAAGTTTCCCCCACACTGCAGTGTTGTCCCCTGTTGCAGTATTTTAATATTTCCCTGTTGCCAAATACAGGTCACACCAGAGTGTGACAAAAAGATAAAACTTAGGGTGTGCATGCGAGTCCTGCATTAGTACGCCTCCCATTACTCACTCCCCGTTGTGGTTGGGCTATATAGATTCATCTTAAAAACCTGGCTATATGTAACTGTGTCTCCATAATTTGTTAATAATAATAATAATAATAATAATAATAATAATAATTTTTTTATTATTTGTACCCCGCCCATCTGGCTGGGTTTCCCAGCCACTCTGGGTGGCTTCCAACAAAGATTTAAAAAACATTAAAATGTCACACATTAAAAACTTCCCTGAACAGGGCTGCCTTCAGATGTCTTCTAAATGTTAGGTAGTTGTTTATTTCTTTGACATCTGATGGGAGGGCATTCCACAGGGCGAGCACCACTACCGAGAAGGCTCTCTGCCTGGTTCCCTGTAGCCTTGCTTCTTGCAATGAGGGAACCGCCAGAAGGCCAAAATATGCTAAGTATTTGGTTCATTTATTGTTTGCATGGTTATGTATTAGTTTGTTCACATGTTTATTATAATAAATATTTGTGCCTGTTTTCTCATGTGCTTGAGCCTGCAGGCCCTTCTTATGGGCAGCCTATTTGCTGGTATCTTCTGAAATACCAGCATACTACTGCCTATAGATACATAAAAGTGACTTCTCTTTTTTATTTGCATCAATCAATCACCTGTGCTTTGTGTACAAAATTTTCCATTTGTATATTATTAAACTGGTTAAAGAGATCTAATCCTGGTTGTCCTTTCCTTGCATGAGAGGTATTCCACAGCTCTGATCATTTTTCTTGGTTTTGTCTTGCCTGGGCCTCCTTAAAATGAACAAAAGGGTTCTAGAATCAAGTAATCTATCCAAGCAGGATTATAAGATTCCTCTCAGAAAATTTTCATTGAATTAATTAAATACGAAAACTTGTGAAATCAATCTGCAGCCTAACATTAAGACAAAGGTCCCCCACCACACACATACAGAAAGCGAGTCCCTTCTTCTTTGAGATCCTAGCAGCACCAGCAATGTTCTGAACTTTCTGACAGCACCACCAATGTTCTGAACCTTCTGGAGTCTTATTAAGGAAGCTTGTCAATGCAGAAGTACAGTAATTGAATCTCACAGCAATAAGAGTGCAAATAACCATTAGGAATCAAGACAATCTGCTTCTCCCATGTGAGTTCTTGTTTGGTCCCCAGGGAACATTTACTTGCTGCTTTTGATGGTTAGTGACGCTGGTCCCATTGCATCTACCAGTCAGAAAATAAATTTTGCCCTTGAGTTGGGTCTTGGTGTGCCCTCAAACAACCCTGCTCTTAGCAAGCTTCAGTGAGGGACCCGCTCAGAGATCCGGTCCCCAGAGTTCCTCTTGAATTTCTCAACCACTTCCTCTTCTGGGTCCTGAGTTTCTGCAGTTTGTTTCATTACTCATGGTGCAAGTCGGTTTATGGAGGAAGATAGACACATCATTCTGAGGGTGGTTCTTCACAAACAGGGTGACTCTAGCTTCAGAACTTGTCTTATAGGCATCAACACCAGTAAGTTGAATGTTGGGTCTTGTTTCCCATGCCTAGAAGGTGTGTCAGCCTATAGGCATGCTCCATGCCTTGTAGGCTGCCCATTTATTTTATTTTATTTATTAAAAAATGGCATGTATGCATGATGCATACACACATTAACCTTTCACTTAATTTTTCAAAACTGCTCTAGGGATAAGTGAGCGATGGGTGGTATGAGATCCCTGATGTGAACACAGCTCTCTTTTCTCTTGTTCAAACTGAACCAGGCTGAAACTATATTATTTTTTAGTCCGAGCTCCGCCAGGATAGAAGTGTGTCCTGAAGCATAGCTGCAGTGCTACCAAACCTTTCCCAACACCCTTAAAGTGACCATGAAGCACTTGAAGCTGTCAATGGGTTGTCCTGATGTCTATATGCTAGATCAGAATGCCTCTGACTACCAGCATGAGGAGGTACCTATTGTCCTCATCGCCTGCTTGGGAGTTTTCCGGGGGCCTCTGGGTGGCCACTGTGAGAAGCAGGGTGCTACATGAGGTCTTTGGCCTCACCCAGTAGGACTGTTCTTATGTTCACACCTAAAATGTCACATCTGTCTTACGTTCCACCCCAAATGTAGAACTTTTTTGAGAGGTTATAGTTTGGCACCCAGCGGCTGTGAAAATTAGAGGTGATTTGAAATCACACGTGCAAGGTGGAGTTTTATAGGGTTATGCAGATGCAGCTCAGAGAGCGCTATGGAGCTGCTACGCTGCCTGGTGAGTCATTGTTCCTTACCAGGAGCGAGAGGGACGAAGCACTGGGGAGGTCAGCATGGTGAAAACGCACCAGCAAGAGTGTTAGCTTGGCTCCACCAGTGAGTTTGTGCCCCTCCAACTTCCCCACCACCTCACCTCTCCCCCTCCTGGTAAGCAGCAGCGCTGTATCTACTGGGAAGCTAGCATGCCACTTCTGGAATTGTGTACATACAATATCAGTCTACGTTATTTTACTTTATTTTTATCTGTGACTGGACATTACTGTTTCTCTTATTCTCCTCTTGTTTTCTATGAGCTGTGTAGTTGACTTACTTATAAAGAAAGAAAGGTGAGATTGTGGCAGCGCGTTAGTCCTGCATTTATCACTGCTGGTTGCTATGGGCATATTGGTTGAAAATAAAAAAAAAAAAGGTAATAATGAAGAGTGTTTATTTCCTACAGCCTACTGCTTGGTTCCTCAATGGCTGCAGGGAGGAACTGAAAGCAGCGCTGAATTGTCTCTTGGCAACAAGTGTACTTAGGGATAAGAAGTAACTGGAATCTGAGGCAAAGCTTTTCATTTGAAAAAACAAAACAAAAAAACCAATGGAAAGACCAAGCGAGGAGATAAACAAAGTCGTGCCATCCATTTAAAGCACATGGCTTCACCCAAAGCGTCCCTGAGAACTGTCTTTGTTAAGGGTGCTGAGAATTGTAGCTCTTTGAGGGGTAAACTGCAGTTCCCAGGATTTATTTGGGGAGGAAATGTGCATTCAGTGTATGATGTGGGTGTGACCACATCAGCACCCTCTATTCCCTACTGATTTCAGTGTTGACTGGAGGTGCTTCTATATAAGTCCCAACTGTCTGGTAGCACTTGTGTCTGGGAAAAGTGTGGCACACTTGGATCTTCACAGCTGCATTTGCTGCTGGGGTGGAGACAATAGAGAATGAACCTTAGAGAGCCTGCGTCTTTATGCTTGCTTGGAAAAAGAACCCTCACTCTGTCCGTTTTCAACATCTTACTTTGTCACTTGGAAGAAGACTTATTACATCCTAATCGCCAAACCACTTATTCTAGAGTGGCAGTACTCTAGAAAGTTTGAAAGTTGGATTGACGCTCATGACAGTAAAATAGTTCCTCAGTTTGCATGTAAGACTACGCCAAACCATGGTTTAGTGTGGGTGGGCAAACTCTCAGTGAGAAGATCAAGACTGCTTTGCTCCTTCTCTAGTCTGAATGTGTCATTTGGTTTAGTGTAGCATGTCCTCTCCACCTGCCTACTGCAGACAAGCCACAAGAGGTAAGCCATAGAAAATAGCTACAGCTTGTGATTTGTCTGGAGCAAGACAAATGGCAAGCCTGGGTTTCAGATGAGACCCTAAGCCAAACCATGCAGCAGCAGCAGGACCAGGGGAGGAGGAGAAAGAGGAAAGCAGCTGTGATCTCTTCAGCGATCCACACATTTATGCCTTCTCACTAAACCATGGTTTGGCTTAGTGCAAGCCAGGCCGACGAGTTGACTTTGCTCTGGAGCATTTATGTTGTTGGATGAATGACACCGAGGTTTGCTGGGTGGAAAGGGGAAGGCAAGCTGAGGGATTCATTGATAGGGCCACAAAACCAGTGGAGGGCCTATTGGCCTATCAGTGCTACCATTTCAACATTGCACAGAGTGTGCAATAAGTTTATATGCTTCTTCCAGGTATTTGGGGGGGGGAGGGGGGTGTCACTGAACATGCCAAGCCTGAACTCCACCCTCCACCAAATCTTGGAGCCAGCACAGATCACTGAACTATGAGGTGTGCAGGGGCAGGGTTAACACTTAAACTAGCCCTAAGTTCATTTGTAATCGTGTAAATTCATGTGTGTGTTCACATGCAGTTATGTGTTGTTGTTATTATGTGTGTGCCCTGCAACTGATTGTTACGACCTCACATATGATGGTGTGCTGAACACCCACAGACATTTAAACCATCTCATACTCACAGCTTAGAAAAGAGGACCCCAGTTCCCCTGCTGCAAGTGACCAGGTGCGTGTCTCTAGACCACCCTTTGCCAACCTGATGCCCTCCAAATGTTTTCGCTGACAACTGCTTTTTGTCCCAGTGGCCGGCATGGTCACTTGCAAAGCAAAACATCTGGAGGGCACCAGCCAAGGCTGTTCTAGATGCCCCACTGGGAAAAAAAAGATTGCCCAGGCGTCCTTCATAGATAAAGCTCTGGGGAAACGCTGAGATGAAGCATATCGTAGGAAGCAAGATAACAAAAACATGAAAAGCAGCACAAACCTCTGAATGTTATAAATACCAGGAAATGCAGAACAATGCAAAAATAAAACCCATATGGAAATTAAAACCCTTGTGGCTGCTGTTCTGCCCCCCCTCCTCCCAGCCCAGCCGGTTCTTATTTTCCAAAGTTAGAGAGAGATCATCTGATTGTTGTTCAGTAATGCACAGCCAGTGAGTTAAGGTTTGGGGCATTATGCAATGCACTTAGGCGTCTGTTAGTATTTTTCTCTTGATGTCCTGCCATGGGTATTCAGCTGTTCTACGCCATTGCCAAACCAACAGTTTGTTAAGGGGGAAGAAAGGAGGTGTGGGAGGAAAAGGAACAGCCATGTGCAGATTTGGAGTTATTCGTCTATCCTTCCTTCCTTCCTTCCTTCCTTCCTTCCTTCTTGTTTCAGACATTCAATGGCTCCTTGGAAGGGATACTACTTCCATGGTATGTTGAATTCCGTGTTACCCTCAGTAGGTTGACCAAAGGTGTGTAGCACATCCACACCATATTTTTAAGGACTGTGAACTTGAATCAGTCATGGCTTCCCCTGAAGAATTCTGGGTAATGTGGTTTGTTAAAGATGCTGAGAATTGTTGGGAGATCCCTTTACCCATTCAAAGAGGTAATATTTCCAGAGTGGCTTAACAGCCAAACACTCTTCCCAGGGAATTCTGGGGTTGCAGCTCTGTGTGAGTAATAGGGTTTCTCCTGAAAACTCTCAACACAACTCCCAGAATTCTCCAGGGTAGATTGGACAGTTGTTGCCATGCTGCTTCCACAGAACAAGAGGCATGGCTTCAGCTTTTTGAACAGTGACTCTATGCCAGGGGTCCCCAAACTAAGGACCGCGGGCCAGATAAGGCCCAAGGGACTTGTTTTTCTGGTCTGCGGTGACCGCTGCCGCCGCCCGCTCTTACCGGCATGGTGCTGCGCTGCGCGGCTGCCCACTTCTGGGTTGGAGGAGCACTGGAAATAGCTTGTGTGCATGTGCAAGCGTTATTTGCCCATGCACACACGCTATTTCCAGTGCACATCTGGGTTGGGGGAGGCCCGTGCACAAGCTATTTCCAGTGCTCCTCCGACCCGGAAGTGCGCCGGAAATAGCGTGTGTGCGTGTGTATGGGCACACGCTCCCCCGCCCTCCAGCCTGCCACACAATTGGCGCTGCAGACACTGCCCCAAGGCATGGTAAGTTTGCTGACCCCTGCTCTATGCCATCTTACTTAGCAGGAAGTCCTGTTGCATTCAAAGGGGCTTGCTCCCAGATAAGTGTGTGCAGGATTGCAGCCTTAGTGAGCTAACACTTTTAAGCCACGGATGTCAGTGGAGCCGTGCCAAGCCGTGCCAGCTGAGGTTCTTGCCCTTAATGTCAGAGCCAGAGGATTACGCGGCGTTAATGTCAGAGCTGGGATTGGAATCCAGGAATTACAGGAGCTCAGGCCGCTAGACAGCTTCCCTCAGCTTTACAGAAGGACTTTCATGCTGAGGGAAATGTCCACGTCTATCCGATTTACTAGCAAATCTATTGGCTTTCCTCATGGTTGTTGCTGTTTCCCTCTCCCCACCATAATTTGCCTCGCAGTGTGTTATTTGCTAATGAACATGGCTATTTGTGTCTCAAAAGAGGGCTGGTTGCCTCTTTATTCACCCAATCCTCTTAGGGAACTCTGTGGTGGAAGTCACATGATCACACACGGCAGCATAAGGTTAGCATGAGTTGGCGAGAATGCAGCCCCTGGCATTCATGAAAACGCTCAAAACTAAGGCACAAGGTTCTCTGCCTGCCCGGCAAAAGAGAGTGGCTAAACTTTGGCCTTCGGGATGTGGTTGGACTCCAACTCCCATCAGCCCCTGCCTGCACAGGAAATAGGCTGGAATTTATTCAATTTATTTAAAGAATTTTTATCCTGCTCCTCAGTTGTTGTTGTTCTTGTTGTTTTAAGGATCGCTGGGCAAATTACAGGTCCCTGCCCTCAGGTTCCTGATCTAAAGAGATGTCACCCGAAAGGAAAGTGGATTGTGAGGGAGGAGGGATGGCAGGAGTTGGAGTCTAACAATGTCTGCAGGGCCACCCTGGTCAGGAGGGACACTGCTAGGATGTCTGGGGTGCGCAGCCTAGCTCCTGCATTCAGGCCGACCATTTCTGCAGTCTGCAGTCTTGCTCTGAGGTGGCCTTCTTGCAATCTGGCCGCATGCCCAGAGCAGAAATCTGGGAAGGTAATTCTTACCCTCTCACAGACGGAAAACAAGTGCAGAGGAAGGGGTAAGTGCCATCGGGTGGGCCTGCACCAACTTTAATGACCCCCTGTCTGCGGCAGCAAGCCTTGGATGCCTTGGTTGCAGCAGCAGCAGCAGGAGCACCCTGGGTAAGCATTGGGCGCCATGTGTGCCATTAGAATTTGCATCTGGGGATTAGCAGGGAGGATTATTGGTGGAGAAAAGGACCACCTGGAACTCCCGTCTCTGTGCCAGACGACCTCATCTAGAACCTGTGGATTTGAAGGCTTGGAAGGAATTATGTGCCTGGCTCACTCAGGTTGAATAGAGGGCAGGATTTGCCTTGCTCTGGTTTCATGGAGGGCAAGGGACACTTCCTGATGTTAGGCCTGAGCACACATAAGAAGCTGTCTTATGCCAAGCCGGGCTATTTGTCCAACTGGTCCAGCACTGCCTGTTTGGGCTGGCAACCTCTCTCCAAGTCTTGGCTCTAGCACCTGCTTCAGTGCCCTTTTTAACCGAAGAGTCAAAGCATGAGGAGCCTGAAACCTCCACAGTATAACAGCTGCTTCACAATTCACTTTTTATTTTTTACTTTTAAGAGTACACAAAATATTTTTGCAGCAGGGATCCTCGGATGGTTCACCTGGGCAGATTTGTGTGTCGGGCAGAACAGGTGAGCATCTTGTGGCAAATAAACAATTACTTAAGGCTTAAGCAATTAAAGGCTTTATCCACCTGCAGAGGCAGGGCAGGCCCAAAATCTTTTGCTGCCCGAGGCAAAGATCTTTTCAGTTGAGATCTTTCTCACTCTGTGTCTGTATCAGAATTGTTTTTTAAGATGCTTTTTGTGGCCCTGGGCGCTCCTTCAAGGGGAAGGGCGGGATATAAATTTATTTAATCAACAAATTATGAACATGTTGGTGCCTCTTGTCTTCCCACTTTCAAAAAGCTGACCGGACTAGCTGTTGAAATCTTACTTTTGCACTGTAAACAGGGTGGTCCACAGCTTGGCTGAGCTTAGGGGAGACTCCATTGCACACACAGAGCTGTACAACTTCCTTGTTTGCCTGCCCCACCCACAACATCTGCCTGAGGCGCAGGCCCTAAGCACTGAAAATATGTTGGGCCCCCCCATTCAAAATATAAACAACAATAAACCGTAAAATAAGTTTTTATTTTTCAAAATGAAACAAAACCTACAGTAAGATGGACAGCGATGTTTATTTTTGTATACTTTCACTTTATTTATATTTGGAGGGGGGAATCTCCTTTATTTTCTAAATGCCAAGTCTTTGATCAAACTCTCAGAACTAATCTTACATAACACACCTATTTCTGTACTTAGTAGAGAGAAGGCATCCAGCCTGCCTTGTTGCATAGTTGTTCTGTTGGGATTTTTAATCTACTTCCACTGAGAAAATGAACGCTCAGCTGAGCAATTTGTGGCCACTGATGTTAAAAACCCGGCAATGGAAAATTTCTGTGTTGCCGTCCTTCCCTTGATACCCTAAGCACATGCTTATTTTGCTGAATGGTTAATCCTGCCCTGCTGAGACAGCTGCCTCACTCTGCCCAATGGCAGGGCCAGCCCTTCTCAGAGGAGGCTGCTGACTCCATCTCTGTATGATTCGCTCTTCTGGCCTGGCCTCCTTCTAAACTCTCTGCTACGGGCAGGCCATGCCTCAGCCTTCTTGCTAAAAGTGAATCAGCATCATTGAGCAAAAATATGAGACAACACTTCAGTAGGGTAGGAAGATACTGTACTCCAGATACTCAAAACCCTCCAACGGAACATTTTCTCACAGAACATACTCGTTTCTGTGTTGACTTTTTTTTCCATGTTGGCTTCAGCTTGATATTTATGAGGCGGAGTTCCCTACTTAGCAGAACATTTCCTCCATTATACTTTGAAGCACGTTCGCTCTCCCGTTTGAAGTGTGTCCAAAGCTCTGCCGCTAAGATCAGCGGGTGCGTTCTGTCCATGGATCATAAGCAATCTGCTGTACAAGTTCAAATCCCATGAGCCCTGCACACCTAAAAAACAATGGCCTCCTGCCGCAAATAATCTGCGCTGAAAAATATCCAGGCATATAACAGGCTTCTATCATTCCAGCTGGAAACCCTGTAAAGAGCTGCTGTGCTTTAACCCCTGGGGGGGCATTTCTTCAGGGGGAAATGTACAGAGTAGCGAGTTCAATAATAGGTACTGACAGGACAGAACTGTTTCTATTAGAAAGCTTTATCTTTCAACTCCTAGCCTAAATAGTTGTGCCGAGGGACTTTCCAGCTTCTCGTGCTTTCATATCTGTTTCCTTAGTCTGTCTGGGACATGGCTCATTCTGAAACAAAACAAAAGTTGTTCTGCTGTGAATGAGCAGTTCACCCACCCTCCCTAGTGATAAGCCAGTCTGCTCAGCAGCAAATCCACGTCTCTGCCGCATTCATTATGAAATAGAAATAGGGGCTTTGATCCTAAGCTAAGTCAGCTGAGGGAAGTTCAGGAAAGGAAAGCTTCCCACCCACCCTTTCCTGCCCTCACTTGTACCCAGAAAAAAATCCCCTCAGGTGGGGCGAGGGGAGGGATGGGGCCCTTACTTTAAATGTGGGATGGGAAGAGCAGGGGCGTACTTTGGGGTTGGCCTGGTTGACCATGCATTTCCACTCTGGCTTGGCTGCTCTGGCAAGGGCACAAGGGATGGGGGAACCAATATGTCTCCTTGCCAAAGGTCAAGGGATGGTGGAGCGGGCACCAATACAGCTCCTTGCCAAGGGCCCAAGGGAGGCTAGGTACGCCTCTGAGGAAGAGATGTTCCATGAACTTCCTTAAGGCTACAGTCCTACGTGCGCTTACCTGGAAGTAAAGCAAGTTCAACTCAGTGGGCCTTAATTCTGTGTAGACACGCATAGGCTCCTATTGTTAACTTAGTTTAGTATCCAAGACAAGACATCCACATTCCTCTGTTGACAGTGTTCAGCACTGCAATTAGTGCCGCCTTCTACTTTTATTAATTGCAATTTAATTGCAATTTAATCTGAAAGGCTAATTCCAGTTGATATCAGCCGGTTGCCGGCATTCTCCGTGTGTCAGTGACCCGCTCCTTCTTATGCCCTCGTTCATTTGTTTCCATCAGGACCCTTAGGACCTTTCCACTTGATTCATTTAAAGGAAGACTGCAATGTTCAATCGGGCAAACTGTAAATTCAGTGGCTAAAGCTTTAGTTGATTAACAGGGTGGGTCAATTTTAATTGGCAGGACTTGTTTGTTTAATATTTTTTCGAGGCTGTTTTGGTTCTGGTATGCTACTGTAAAAGGAAGTGAGCTGGATAATATAAATATGGCATTTCCTCCAAATGGCATGTGATTTTATTTTTTGTTTATTAAGTTGCAAGCAATCTCACACATGCTTCAATACGTCTAAAAGGCACTCAGAAGAAATGGGAAGCAGGGCCTCTCCAATGGCTCTGCTGAATAATCAGCTCCAATGGGCTTTCCCTCCCTCACCTGTCACCTGGAAGCATTTATTCCATCTGAGAAGGGAAGCAAGGCCTCTCCGTAGATGAGATCAACTCCATCTGGCTGCTCCTCCTGCTAACCGGTCCTGCTGGTCATTATAAAATACTACTATGCCCTCCAACATGATGTTGCCTAAAACCAGGGCACCGCTTCCAGGTACACACTCCTGCATGAGTCATGTGACCCATGCAAGATCGCAGCCTCCCCTCCCCCCCAAAAGCACTTTTTGCAAGCAAGATTGCAGCCCAAGATCGTGGCATCCAGAATGGCCACCATGCTCTCATGGGGAAAAACTAGGATGTCCTGGTTTATCCGGAACAGTTGACAGATGTTGAATGAATTTGCTGTTTTCCTATTCCTTCCTTATCACCCTTTTCTAAAGCTGTGGTCAGTCATTGTCTTGTTTTTATTGCTCTTATGAAAGTTTCTCTGGGAGTAAAAATGATCGCATAATTAATTATTTTCAATTAAATACAATAAGGTTTCTCATAATATGCAAATCTATTTAAGGTTAACCCATTCATTGTGTTAAAGGCATGTGATTAATCAGCCTAATGAAATTTAATATCAGTTAAAGTTGAGCTAATTGATTGGCAGCCCTAGTTTATAATAGGTGAGTGAAGAGCAACTCAAGCACCTCCTTCAGAGTGATAGCCCACAAGCACTGTACTGCCGTGTGCTTAAGAGAGTTTGTAGAGGCAGCTTTGTTGATGCCTGTGTTACTTAACATCTGAGCTCATGTGATATGCTGGAACATTCATAAACATTTTCAGAGCTGGGGAAATGAAAGAGAAAGCACAGAATATTCACAGGCTATTTTACAAGCTTCTCAGAAGCGAGAGACCACAATGCTTACAAAGTTTGTGCTGGCGTTTGCTATGGGAGGGGTTCAAAGCTTGATTTTCTGCCATTTAATTTGTTTCGCAGAAGTCTCAAAAGGAGACATGAATCCAAATTCTGGCTCACCACCAACTCTCAGTCTGATCTACCCCACAAAGTTGTTGTGAGAATTAGTTGCTCTGGAAGTGGAACACAAACTGGCTCCCCCCCCCCCCCCGAATTCTGGGAGCTGTAGTTTGTTAAGGATGCTTAGAGTTGTTGTTCCCTTCATAGAACTAAAATTCCCTGAGTAGTTTAGCAACCGGTCCCTCTTCTCAGGGAACTCTGGGAATTGCGGTTCTGGGAAGGGAATGGAGGGGTTGTCTCCTAACAACTATAAACATCCTTAACAAATTACAGTTCCCAGGATTCTTGGGGAGAAGCCACAATTGTTCAAAGAGGTGTGATACTAATGTTATGGCATTTAGGGGCCCACTGAAGATGTTTTTGTTCAAGAAGTCTTTCCCTGAGGTATGACCCAGTCATTTACGAATTATTAACTGTACTTACAGGAATGGTTTAAAGTTTGCAGGAATAGTTTTAATTGTTTTTTGAACAATTGTATTTTTCTGTATTTTATTTTATTTATACTTTGTGCACTGCTTTCATGGCCTTAGACTGTGAAGTGATTTACAAATTTGTAAAAGAAGTTGTATCCATTCACATTTCATAGAAGTCATTTTCTCCCGCAGAAGTCAATGGCTCCTTCCACGATGGGTGGAAACTGAGTATTCAGTGGGCAGTAGACAGATCTACATAAAGTTACATGAGACACATTCAACATAACTGCAATCTTACGGAGCCTATTCGGAGGTTCAGATGCATTCAATGGGACTTACTCCCAGGTCATTGTGAAGACTCAGTCTTCAGCTACATGTTTGCTGATGGAAGCAGTTCCGCCACAGGTGGTGTCTTATCCTACTGATGATCCTTTTGGAACACCACAGATAAGCATTTATATGATTTTTTTATTAAAAAACAACTCCGCCCTGCAGAAGTAATAGATATACCGAAATCCGGTGTTTCCCGTGAAAGGAGATAAGCTGCACTTTTCGATAATAAATAATAAACAATGCGTCAGTTTCTTGTGTTGACATGCCATCAGTTTATGCCCTCATATTACATGTTCCAGTAAGCCTGCGTGAATAGCTAAGCTGGTTTCAAAGCAGAAAGGAAGAAACGGGTGTGTACTTGCCTGCTTCGGCAATTAAACTATCAAGGACAAAAGCACCTTAATCTGCCATTTAAACAAACATAGGAAGCCTAGTTTACAGAGTGCAAGGTTGTGATAAGTGGATGAATATGGTTGGCACCTACTGAGCGCTGAAGAGAGAGGCACGGAGTCCGTGTGGATTGCAAAGCCCAGTCTGGGATGCCGGACGAAGGAGAAATGGAGAGTGCCGCAGGTTCAGCAAGTGGTTCAGGTCTTCTGAAGGGGGGCATACCTGTTTTGGGATGCAGAGAGCTGAAGGAAGGAGCAGGTGTTCTGCCTCCATATTGCTGCAGTTCTTCAAAACAGCAGTTTTATCTAATCAGTGAAAAGCTGGCCTTGGCAGTTGCTAAGGGAGGCATGAGCTTCAACACACACACACACCACACACACCACGCTCGTTTAATGTTTGTCTTGTGAGAATAAGCACCTCAGGCTGAGATTGAACCCAGCCTTAGTCATGCTTACGAGTAGATCCCTTGAAGTCAACAAGATGTAAGTTAGCCAGTCCACTGAAGTCTGACATTCTGTGCGGCAGGAACTGGCTTGTCCTCCTGGCCTGGACATTGTCACCAGCTTTGCTCCAGGATCAGATCTGGTGGGCAAGAGTGCTTGGGGAGTGGGGCCTGCTATTTTACCTAGAGCAAGACTGCCAGAACTGCCTCTGATACCAGCTATAAGTTTTAAGACTGTCCATGTTAAGAACTAGCGCTTGAGCTTGCTTTTCCCTTCTCCCTCCCATGATTTTTTCCTCCTGTAGCTTGTATTTTTACATAGTGCACCTGAGGGCAGGGGCCATTTCAGAACCAAATTTTGCACAAGCTGCCCTGAGAGTCTTTTTTGTCACAAATAATTTTGCCTCCAAAAGTGGCCAGCAAGACACCCCTGGGAGTTTTACAGGCTTTCCTCTCATTCATTCATTCATTTTCATCACACCTTTCCTCGAAGGAGCTAAAAGTGGCTTACATACTCCCCCCCATTTTATACTCACAGCAACCCTGTGAGGTAAGAGCTTCATGGCTGAGCAGGGATTTGAACCCTGGTCTCCCAGGTCCTAGTCCAGAACTCTAACCACTACACCACACTGGCTCTCAAGGAGCTTCCCTGCTGAAGGCCCTTCTGAGGCTCAGTTTTTAAGAATGCTATCCTTTGCACACAGTGGGGACTTACCTCCAAGGATTGTACCATACCCTCTGTCAGCTCCAGATCTAAAGGAGTCCTGGACAAAGCATTCTCTGGTGGGCCCTCTCCTCTGCTGGTGGACCCTAGTGGGCTTACTTGCTGCATTGGCTGGGCCTAAGCAGCTTTAAAATTTCCCACAATGTCCCATAGTTGTGCTGGGTCAGAAGCTGAACAGATTAAAAAGATGGCCAAATCCAACCGCCTGCTATTGGTCAGAGTGCTAGGAAAGGGGGAAATATAGGAGTGGGGCAAGGCAGACATTGGCAGTGGGCCATGCCAGCTGCCCAAAGATGCCAGGGGCTGATTCCACATCTCCTTCCCTTTGCACCTGGTCCATCTATGTGTACTACAAGCCCAAAGGCTCAGAGAAGGGCCATTTCTGAAGTACTGGCCCAACAGAATCAGCCTCTAATGGGCGTGGGAAACCACTAGCACCTGGGACAGATGTGGCCAGGGGCATCCTCATCTGGCCTGTAGCTATGTGTGGATCTTTGTGGAGTTTGCAGCTGGGCGAGGAAGGGTTAATCCTTCCCTAAACAGTTGCTGTCTCCATGAAGACCACACACAGTCTTTTGGCATTTAGGCTTGAAAATGTGTAATTCCTGGGGAGGGAGAGGATGGTTATGGGCTATGGGTGGGCACAGCCACTGCAAAAAAATTGCACACACTTTCTCTGCCGTATACATCCCCACACATCCTGATATGTGTTTTACAATAATATACCTATACTGTACATTTACACATACCCATTTATATACAGTACATACACATACCTGCATATACAGTGGTACCTTGGGTTACATACGCTTCAGGTTACAGACCCGCTAACCCAGAAATAGTACCTCAGGTTAAGAACTTTGCTTCAGGATGAGAACAGAAATCGTGAGGCGGTGCGGCAGCAGCAGGAGGCCCCATTAGCTAAAGTGGTGCTTCAGGTTAAGAACGGACCTTTGGAACGAATTAAGTACTTAACCCGAGGTACCACTGTACATAACACACACCTCACATCCAGTTCTTATACCCAACACATAACACACACACACCCATTCATGCATGCATTCATTCATTCATTCATTCAAGCAAGCACATGAATGGGTGTGTGTTATGTGTTAGGTATGAGAATGGATTTGTGGGGAGGGTTTGCCTATGGATCTGTGTGTGCAGATAGTAACTAAAACATCACACAGCACGTCAGACAAGTTTGTTCTGGATCTGGGTAGGATGCAGTTAAGCACTAAAACCATATATTTATTACAGTGACTAACAAAGCAGAAATTTTAAATCCTTATAGGAAAACGTTTCGGCTTCCGCCTCCACCAGTTGCTCTGATAAGAATGATGCTGTTCCGAAGGTGGCAATTATAGAGCGTTGAGCATCCTTGGAAACAGCATCATTTTTATCAGAGCAGCTGATGAAGGCGGAAGCTGAAATGTTTTCCTATAAGAATTTTAAATTTCTGCTTTGTTAGTCACCTGTATGAGTGTGGATGTGCATGAGAAAGAAAGTCTGTGTGCATTGGCCCTGCCAACCTCTGGCATCCCATCCTCAAATGGTTAGTCACGAGGGAATGTGGACTTCGGACTGAGAGAGGCCCCTTGACTCCAGGAAGCTGCCTTATACTGAGGCATCTGGCTGAGTATTGTCTACACCAAACTGTTTCAGCAGGGGGCCGGTTCACTGTCTCTCCGACCTTGTGGGGGGCCAGACTATATTTTGGGGAAAAATAATGAACGAATTCCTATGCCCCACAAATAACCCAGAAATGCATTTTAAATAAAAGGACACATTCTACTCATGTAAAAACACGCTGATTCCTGGACCCTCCGTGGGCCGGATTTAGAAGGCAATTAGGCCGGATCCAGCCCCCGGGCCTTAATTTGCCTACCCATGCTCTACACGTTGACTGGAAGGCTCTCTAGGACTTCAGGATGCCGAGGTGTCACAGTGGGTACGTTCAGCATCTAAAATGACCCTTCCCTGGCCTTTAAGCCGCCGGGACGCTGGCAGATGCCAAGGATGCCACGTGACTGTGTATAAGCACATTAGGCCAAATTAATCACAGAAATTTGGTGTTGGGCCTGCATTCAAATCCTTGCTCAGCTGGGCAGCCTTCCATGAGTCAGCATTTACCAGTCTTAGTTCCCTATCTGCATAATGAGAACAAGAGTAACCTTCCTGGCAGAAGCAAGGGCAAAGAGGCTACAGTTCTACAGCACTGTGCATATTGAAGATTGTTATATGAAAGTTATAATAAGGCGGAGGGCACTCTCCTAGGGCAGCCCCTCTGCTCAGGCTGCCACCATTGTCCCTGGATATAAGCAGCAGGGTATGGAGCCACTGAAATCACACGTTAGTAATACAGGAACTCTTGTTACATACACTTCCCCGATAACCCGTATAATAAGCCCTTTTCTTAACACTGTTTGAATTAGCTGTATATACAATGGCTTCCTTTGAACACCCTTCTGAATCAATATATCCCAGCTACCTAGAGCGTTTCTGTTATTTGGTCTGTCAACACTGACTTGTTTTTAGCACTGACCAGGTGATTTTCTTGGTAACGGAAGCTTTTGCCAGTGAGAGCCCACCAGCGCCCCAGACAACTACCTCTTACCTCAGAGTATGACACAATATGAACCCTACAAACAGTCCACCAAACCTGATAGTTTGGTAGTTTGGAGCTTGCGAACTTAAACTAGAGGAGTTTACAGTCTA